CGGACCTCTTTTACGGACAAACAGAATACAATTGACAGTGGCATGGCGAATGATTAGAACACAACACCAAAAAATGAAAACAATTTTACGTGTACCATTTGGTAGAGGAAAGAGCCAAGAGTCCCTAATCCCCTTTCAACATCAAAATCAATGAAAAAAACGCCAAAACGAGAAGAAGAAAACAAAACAAAACAAAAAACAGGAAAATACAAGGGTACTGTCCCGTCCGCCATCATCTCCAAAACCAAAACCTTCCTGCGGACAATATCAGTGTGCATGCGCCGTGATTGACAGCGCACATCGTGAACATGCCTTCCCACCAACAAGCTACATGTATACACATATTCACATGACCAGTGTTACAAACTCACTGGATAGTATAATTAGCGATGGCTGCGTTGTTATCATCCGGCCTGCTCCACGCTATGGTTACCATATTTGGCACATTCTGCTTCAGTACTGGTAAACTAGGAGCATCAGGAACACCTGTATACATTTTGAATTGAAAGGTCAGCACAGTCCACATTTCAAAGACAGGTAGGTGCGCAAAACGAGCCGGGTTCAGGTAATGTCTATTTAAAAAGTATAAATTTATAGAAAGAAGAAGCACTAATACCCTATATTGTCCACCAACACCACCAGTCACTAAACAATCAGCTCATCCGATAACATTGCACGACACTGACCGACAGTACTGACATTCTACAACTAATTGGCTATCAGCTTTAGCACGTCTTGGATACGCGTTCTAACAGCCTTCCAACTTGTATGGTTCTAAGTATTCTTATGATAACATGGGAGGGGAAGGTGATCGCAACCAAGACAAGCACAAGAGAGTTGTTCGCATAGCTTCCCCTTCTTTCTTCGCATCTTTGAGCCACACAAGTCTTGTGGAATGTTGCTTTGCGTCATCAAATCGTGATTTGACCGTATTGTCCAATGGTCCTGCGAGTATCGCCATCGACATGCATGTGCATTCGCTAACGTATCTTCTTCTTTGTTCTGTTTGTCCGCTCATTTTTTATATATTTTTCTTTTTCTTTTCTCTTATTATCAGTGGGACCATTGTCATTAGGTTTAGGCCTGTTTTCGAACTGCACTCTATAAAGCCAAACAACAACAACAACAACAACAACGTCCTCCACATCTAAGACGTTCGGCTCCTGCTTATCTTGGTGGCGCTCACCATCGCATGAGCTGATTTTTTTGGTAACCGGTGATGTTAGTGGACATTAACATATAGCGTAACTTGTAGTTCCTTGGTCCTTTTTCTTTTACATGAAAAATGCCTCTTTTGCAAAGTTCAACTCATTTTTTCTGGTTTGGGTTTGAAATTCTTTATTTTACACATGCATATTAATTTTTCTGATTTCTTCTCCAGTGTATGATTTATTTATTTATTTATTTATTTATTTATTCAACATCTCCTGGCCCGTCCGAAGACTGCCAATAAACATGAGAGGTCAGGTGATAGCCAACCACGGCAAGCTAAAAAGGGAAAAAAAAGAAAGATGCTGTCAGAGAGGGAAAGGAGATAGGGAGAGAAAAAGAAAGGGAGGCACATTAATAATACATGGGATCACTTCGGATGAGACAGTGTGGAAAGCTGGACTGTGAATTTCCTGATATCCTGGCATGTCTTAATGCTAGTAGGCAGGTTAGACCAAAGGGAGTATGCTGAGAAGAAAGGGGCATTTGAAACCATTGTGTTTTTCCTTGTATTCACTTTCCACTGTTACTGTATTAAGCCGGCTGTTTACTTGCAGTCCCTCTTTCCTATCTGTACGTATATCCGAACTACCCGCAGCTCAACAACTCATAACATGAGCATCAATCGCTATAGATCTATGTCTGACTTTCTGTCTTTTTCAAGTAAATCGGGTCTTGTTTGGAATTATTTACCAGACGACCTGAAGTCCTGCACTACTATCTCAGATTTCCGCGTCAAATTTGCTATTTGGCTAAAAGACAGCTTAACTTTTAAAATCATTGTTGTGATTTGCTTTTAAACAATGTGCATAATCAGTAAATTGATGTTGCTGTTTGTGTTTTGTTTTTGGTTTCCCGTTCTTGGGGCCTTCTATTCGGTACTCTTTGTAGTTCTACTTCTGTACTGTTTGCATGTTCAGCTATCCGAATTCAAATAAACACAAAAAAAATAGCTTACTTTTTTTCTCTACTCGCGTCGATGGAGTACGCATTGCGCAACAGTCGACGTACATACAGTCATGTAGAAACAATGTGTAGCCATGTGTCACGTTCGCAACTCGCTGCTGGTGTCTCTGCGTCTTTCGATCACCGTTTCAAACTTTTTTATTAGTCATAATTGAAAGCGTTGAGAGGTAATAATTCCGTAGAAGCTTACAAATGCAGTGACGCGGTTGCCATCGCGTATAAAGGAAACATCGTAAGAAAAATGTGAAGAAGAGGTTGGTGCGACACCAGATAGGAGCGTGAGTCAGTGTCGCTCATGGAGGTGCTGAACCCAGCGCGAGCTTGCGAATTAGATGGTTTGGAGGCAACACCGTTGTGAACGGCCAACGGTCCTCAGCGCTTGTTCAGCACCTCCATGAGCGACACTGACTCACGCTGCTATGTGGTGTTCACGAGGAGTTTGTCGAGCTGGCAACGGAGCATCTATGTAAGTTTGTATCCCTGGTGATGTTTGTGCCTGAGGAGCACTATAAAAGTGGTGCTCTTCAGGCACATTATTCCTCAGCCTACACAAGCTCAACTGATGAGGGGTGAATTCCCCGAAACACTGTGTATTGAGCAGGGAGTGGTGCTTTCTTGCAGGTTTGCCGAGTGGACGGTGCGATGGACTTCTTGTGTCCTCTGGATGGCAGTCGTGAGTCAGTCAACTGAGATTTCAAGTCGGCAGGAAAACCGCGAGCTCCGATGTCGGGAGCAACACACTCTTCCCCATCGTAAGAAAAAGAAGTTAATTATGTCTTTATAAACACTACGTACCAAGAACCAGCAGTACTGGAACTGTATCAATTGCTGTTCCCACTGGATTCATGCCAACACATGCGTATCTCCCACTATCGATCAGTCTGGAGCGCTTAACTATCAAAGTACTTCGGCGATATGGGAGGCCATCTGGTAGAAAACCTGCACATAGAAATGTTTGCAAACATTGATGAAGCTGAAAAACACCCGTTCAAAACAGCATAACAAAAACCCCCTTCTACGACATGACAAGACAGTATGATGATTTGCTGAAACACCACTCCCCTAGTATCGCCGAAGTCGCACCATCCTCTTCTTCACATCGTTGTCCCCGGCGCCCTCTCGCGAATTGGATGGTTTGGAGGCAACAACGTTGTGAATAGCCAACGGTCCCCAGTGTTTGTTTAGCACCTCCATGAGCGCCACTGACTCACGCTGCTATCTGGTGTTCACGAGATGTTTGTCGCACGTGAAACGGAGCATCTCTGTAAGTTTGTATCTCTGGTGATGGTTGTGCCAGGAGAGCATTATAATTGTACAGATCTTGTATTATAATTATTTGACGTGAATTATCGGAAACTGGGATGGGAATGTTTTGAGTCTTCGCTGATGATGGTGATAAAGAGTTTGAAATGTGTAGTGTTTACGACAGCTTTATAAAATTTAATGTATTTTTACAAATTAATTTCACGGTTCGCGTGAGACTCGGCTAGAAGCCGGGTTTTCCGCATCCGTAGGAACGCCACCACCCTTCAAGGATCAAGGCGCAGATGCAGCTCCTAAAGCGGTGGGAGGCGAGTAGATCAGCTCGCCAGCAAGTGGTCAAAGACCGAAAATCCCATTCACTGCATCCATGTTTATTTTTACAAGTATAAACATGAATGTACGTGTCAAAAAACAATGCATCACTTGTAGTGCGTTGCTACTCTGAGTTTCATGCACTATGTACAATCACTAGGCGAACAATATTCAACTAAAAATATAAAGTAAATATATGTACATGTAATCTAAAACACTAAATACATGTACAGCCTTAAAAAAACTGGCATGTCAAACTGCCACCGGTGATGCATTGTGACCTACTGTAGAATGTAGCTCTGGAGTGTGACAGCATTGTTATCGCATGAGCTGTTTGCCTACCTATGATGGACGTAGTCATGGCATGAACCTGCTCATCAATCAAACCAGGAGCTTGGAAGGTGATGATGGGTAAGGGATACCCACTGTAACTGCATGTCACGTTGATCTGGTTTGGAAACACCACCTTGGACGGTGAAGTGGCCTGTAGGAATGTTGGATAAGCTGAGTACACACACACACAAAACTCCGATGGAGGGCCAAAGACTGAACCATAAGGACCATGAAAAGTGTATTATCCGTTTTGTTCAACACGCACTTGTGTTGGACAAGACAGATATAATTATTAGTAAACTTGCGGTCGTCTCTTTTTTAACACACACACAAATATTCATCTAACCTCAAGTCTATGTATGATCAATTACAATTACAATGCTACATTAAGTGCGCGTGTGAACCACACCACTACCCATTAGATGTAGTAGCAAATCCAATGATACAACTTGTCGTCAATAGCAGCAGTTCTCATTGTTTCTACCGGTCAATATCACATTCATGCGCAGAGCACAGCACTTTCCAGTACACCTACAGGCGGAGGAACTTACTATTGACTGTGAGAGTTGCGGATGCTTGCACAGTCCCACTTAGCTGACTGGCGTTGACAAAGCCTGCGCCGTTCACCTCGCTCACACACGTGTATGTACCACGTTCCCAAAAGGAGACACGACGCAGTTCGATGCTGGTATCATACAACGCTGGAAAAGTGGCATTAGCACTCGCTACTTCTCTAATTGTTGGCTTCCGAGACGCGGGTAAACCCTTATGTAGCCAATACATATTTGGGCGTGGATTACCAAATGAAACACAGTGCAAGCTAAATGATGATAGTGTATGCTGAGTCAGGGTAACATTTCGCGGTGATGTAACGATCTGTGGAGCGACTGTATACACAAACGCACAGACAAACACTCTAAGACACACATAAACTGATGTACGCACTAAAGCACACGCACACTCAAACACACTCACGCGCACTCTCACGCACACGTAACAGTCACAATATCATGGTTAGGGGGCCTTGATAGGGATACACTAGCGTCGTTGGAAGTTGATCTTCTGATTAGTATTCGCTGCCTTTTCACTCCGCAGTTCTGTCCCTTTGGTTCGCAAATCCAAATGAAGAAAACTAAAAACAGCACACCAGAAATTACTACCTTTTCCGACCAAGATTGAATTCATTTTGCTGTGCTGTGTCAATGAATCTACAAGGACGAAAAACCACTGTTCACTGGCTCATTTACGGCACTTCGAAACCACCCGATTTTCAGGAGTGGGCATTGGATCCCCGGCATATAGAGATATTCTTTTTGCAGTGTAAGTATGTATTATCAAACTGGAACCCTGACGTTTGGTGTCTCGCACGCAGGTGTGTGTGGATATGGTACAGGCGAGCGTATCAGAAACTGTGCATCCTGCATGGTTTCCGTTGGTGTTTTGTAACCCTCATAATTTGTACCAGTCACAATACAGCCCGAAGAAGTCCAAGGAAAAGAGGTGATGATGATGGCCTGGTTTTACAAATCTCTTTGCATACGATAACAATACGTAGGAGGTACAGTCGACCTACCCTTATAACGATATTTGCGTCAGACCAAGAAATATTGTTATAAGGGTAATATTGTTATAGGGGTAACTGGTTCATTTCATACACATACGTCATAATGCATGAATTCTGTTCATTTTTTACACTCTTCATAGCATAAAAAACTGACGTACATGCACATTATGTGCACAGCAAGGTGCCCACTGGCGCCCCCATTGCATTCCGTCATGTCCCAGCGACTTATCAAGTGAAGCTTGTCCTACCTGGATAGTGGGCTCAACATGTTGCCTGCTAGATATTGTTATAAAATGGAAAATGTCGATTGGTCAGCCCATTTTATATCGTTATAGGGGTAATATCGTTATAGCAATATTGTTATAGAGGTAAGGCATTGTATACACAAGTCAATGGAGTGATTTGGTTTGGCAGAAAATATCGTTATAAGGGTAATATCGTTATAGCGGTTATCGTTATAAGGGTAGGTCGACTGTAGTAGGTTCAGTAGTCATGTTTTTAACTAAATTTTAAATGCACACTCGATATTTGATGCATTAACTTGTAAGCGTGCTTTCAAAACCTAGCTGGGATATTGTTTATTATGAATGAGTCGGCTCTGTGACATTGGCACATAATGGTATCCTATGATCGACAATTTTCTTTATCCGTCGTTCCTGAATCCACCCCAATCATGATATTTTTAGGTTTACTTTGAAGTACACAAAACCCACCATAAACATCAACGGTGGTTGGTTGGCCAATCGAATATCCTCCCAGAGCTGGATTGCTGGTATCTCTGTTGTCGGCGAAACAATGAAAGTCGCCGCGATCACTGTACTCCAAATTAGCGATGATCAAGGTACGGTTATTATCCACCAAAATATGGCGTTCGGAGACCTTGGCAATCTATGAAGAGATAATGAAGAAGTTTCAACACAGACGCAATATACTCAGTCATTTAAAGCCAATTTTGTAACGGAACCTTTTCGTTCCCTTCTTCTTATCATAGGTGGGGTGAAGTGTTGACGCTTTTGCTTTAGTTCTAGACATTGCTGTATTTGACATTTTAGGAAACTTCACTTCTTTCTCAACTCCAAAAAACGGTCTCTTCACTTCACTGTAATGTAAATTTTATTTTGACTTGAATCGGAGTGAAGAGACCATCTTTTTGGAGTTGAGAAGTAATGTTTTCTAAATGTATAAGTGGCTGCGTTGGAGTTTGCGGACAATATTGGAGTACATGTATATTTCGACATTTGCTCCATTATTCCATGTGCTTACGCACGATGAGAAGGGAGTGAAAAAACGTTCGGCTATATTATTGGCCTTAGTTGACTGTTAAGATGGCGTCGGTGCTGAAACTTCTTTCGAAAATGATTACACCTCCAATTGTTGCCTTAGATAATAAAGATGGTAATGATCTGATGTACCTTTCTCAGGGACAGAAATGTAATAAGAATGTGTGAAGAAGTGAAGAATGGAACTACCGGTACTATCTTCTGATCTCTCACCAGCAACACCCCCAAGTATTCCCATATGATATCTCCATGGCCATCTCGTCATCTCAGATACTAAGCGCAATAATATTTTTGCAGAAAGAAGAAGGGACAAATGTACTCTTTATCAATAACGACGTCATTGTTGAACATATTATGATTGTGTAATGAAGGTGTGCATCGATATAGCACGTAGTATGCACGCTGACTTGTGCAAAATTTCCTAATGTATTTGAAGAACATGAAGTGTGTGCTGCGATTATTTAGTTACAGCTCTTTTTTGTCTCCAGGGAAACTTTGTACAATCGACAACTTACTTTTCCGTCCTTGTACCACTCAACGCTCGGTTGTGGGACTCCGTACATATTGCATGTAAGTTGAACTGTGCCACTTTCCGATGCATTGATGCTTGCTGGTGGTGAAATCGGAACTGTTGGGACTGCATATACCAAGCGCACGAGCATCATGGAACAAAAGTAAAATATATGGACGAAGGTGTGGAATTTTATGGGGGTAAAGTTGATACTGTGTGTATGCGGGGATGTATAAAAAGGGGAATGGTAGACTGATGCAAAGAGATAGAAGGATGGTTTTCAGCAAAACCTGTACTACCGGTTTGAATATACACGTAGAAGTGAGTTCCACTGCATATGCGTGAAAGTGGATTATGGGAGTATCGAGCCTAGTGACAGGCTAATTTCAAGGTGGATTTCTCCTAATTGGAATTAGGTCAATCATAACGTTTTTAGATTTACATCAAACACCTGGTCCATATCAATGGCCCATATCAAATTGATGTTCAACACCTGATGTTTTGTGCCTTTCAAATATTGGAGTGGTATGGTGTTTAGCAACCGGGCCTACGGACTTACCAAACACCTTCAACTCCGCGGTGCTGTTTGCATTAGAGCCGTCACTGTTCGTAGCAGTACAGGTGTAAGATCCCTTATTGTGCTCGTTCGTCACGTTTCTTAGGTGTAATACCGAACTGATGCCGTGACTGCCTTTACGCGATAGGGCGTCAGTTGTAAATGTTGTCGATCGGATGCTCACCGTCTTGGTGTTAGCAAGCTGCCTTCCATTGTAGTACCATGAGATGATTGGTGCAGGATAACCACTGGCATTGCAGGAGAATGTAGCCGATTGCAGCTGATTGACGCGAACGGATTCTGTCGGGCTCATAATTTGGATTTCATCTGTTAGGATTCAAATAATGAATGCAAGCGCTTTTTTGGAACAGAATAGACCCAGTATTGTTTTTACTGCAAGTAGCAATGTCCACCAGGGGCCAGTATCCGATTTTTCTCACATTCAGCCGTTCACAGAACATTGTCTCAAAGAAAGCATGGCACAAGTTGTTTTGTAATGCTCCAGTGTGGTTGCAAGGATTGCAGAGTCCGTTTCCAATACAGGACATAGGGAATACATAAAAACAAGAACCTACGCCTGTCTGCTGTCATTATGAGTTTCACGGGATTGCGATCATGAAGAACAACAGGAGCGTAACTTATACAAACACCTTACCGATATAGCGGATGGTAAAGTTAACACATGCAGAGCCAGCAACATTCGTCAGACACATTGTGTATGTTCCAGCATCTGAATAGCGGGATCTGTTGATTGTCAAGTTCAATCGATTCGGAGACAACAATCTCTCTCCGCTCCATGAGTGGTTTTGCGCCTGTATGTTCATCGTGAGAAACACAACAGCAACATACGAATTTAAAATAAAGAAAAGGACCAAGGAACTACAAGGTACGCTAAAACGTCCACTTACACCACCAGTTAGTTGACAATCAGCTTATTATAGCAATGGCGTAACTTGCAGTTACCTAGTCCTTTTCATGAGGTTGGTCGTTCCAACGAGCCAGTAGCCTAACTCCATGAGCGACAATGACTGACGCTGCTGCCTGGGGCCTCACGGGGTGTTTGTCTAGAGGGAAATAAATCGTCTCTGTAAGTTTGTATCCCTGGTGATGGTTTGGCCTGGATAGCAGTATATAGGCGGTGCTTTTCAGACACAATCTTCCTCAGCCTACTCAAGCTAAACTGATGAGGGGTGAATTCCTCGAAACATGATGTATTGAGCAAGGAGCCGTGCCTTCTTGCAGGTTTGCTGAGTGGAAGGTTCGACGTGGCCCTCGTGTGCTCCGGGTGGCAGTCGTGATCCAGTCAAGTGTGTCAGGTTCCGCATGAAGCGTGTGTTCCTCGCTGGAACAACCAACTTCATGACTAATACCACCGCAGTCGCAACTTCTAAGTTCGTATTGTTGTATGTCTTTATTATAAACTATTCATTGGCTCTCCATCTGAGTCTATCCTTGCACGTAAGAATAGAATTGTACCAGACTGTCGAGGCTGTCCTGGTTCAAGTACCACCATATTCACAGATATTTTACCCCTAGTCAACACTATCCACAGTTAACCTATAATTATCATTGCTGATTCGTACCTGAGCTGAACATGTCATACAAAATGATGTGCTCCCAGCAAAAAATATATCACGGTTTCCCGCTCCGCAACTGTAGACACTCCAGCATGTGATATCCCTAGAAGTACCGGAGGCATCATATGATGCATTTGCGAAATTCAAAATGGGATTGCTGTTATATGGGGGCTTAGAATCTCCCCAAATTTTGTGACTTTTATTTATTTTGTATTGTGTTAATGGCAGTGGGTTGTGTTTTCAAAAATTTAGCACAGTTCCGAAATGCCGGGGGTGCTACCTAGAACTACCGCGCGGCATCATTATGACTCCACATACCATAGGCATCAATAAAAAGGCGAATTAGGCTTAGAACCACACGTGAACAACGTGAAGAGGAATAAATTTGGGAGCAAGGAGATTGGGGACCATGAAGGTGGTGATTTGTACATATGGACATGCTAATATGCACATTTCACGTATCGTTTTGGTCAATATCGTAATCTCGAATCCTGCCGAAACAGACAAATTTGTTTGTCCTAAGTTTGGAAAGTGATTCACTATGTCATCTGCAGCATAGAACGATATGAAGTGCCAGGGCAGTTATAACAATCTAGTAACGTCCTTTGAGCTTACGTTGGTCTGGCGGAAGCCATGTTCAGTAGGCGCAGTGTCGCTGCCGATAAAGCATTTAATTTGATTTTGAACTGTTTTGGGCAGGAGTTTGGGTATGGATGCGAGGAGAGTGCCTGGAGCATTGTGCGCGAGCAATTAGAAGTGACGGAACCCAGAGACACATAGTTATTATGCTCCAGATGAAGATGAGTGAATACTAATTGCTCCGGCTTCTCGATCAGTCTGATACGGGACCGGATGTGCTTCCGAAGTTTGCGGGCTTTTCCGAAATATTCACAATTTTGAAGATTGGGCAGATGCATTATTTGCATTTATTGACCAGAATTTGATCCATGTCATGATCAAGTGCACAAGGTAGGAGGGAAAACAGAAATTTGGAGAGGACTCTACTTTGAGTGAAGGCAATATCATGGCATTGGTTTTATATAATTTACGCAAGAGGCGTCCTCTGTACCCGCAATAACCTGCCAACGGCCCTTCGGCTGGATAAGAATGGACGCCATTTAATCAAGTAAAATCCCAAAAAAAAGTTTCCAGGAACTACTCTGCTACTTGAGGTTTGATCACGAAGATGGTTTCCGGACACGACGTCGAACGAAAATTATTCGTTTGCTATGAGTCGCGACGCCACGTTCTCCTTTCACTCGTAAATGTATTTATCACAGTAGTCAAAGAATGACCAACCTGGCTAAGAAAAATCCAGCAGGTTGGCCCAGCAGCAGCCATTTCCGGGGTAATGGACTGAAATGTAGAGTTTTCAGGATGAGCATGGCAAGCAAATGCTCTTTTATTTTTCCGTAAACTGACGGGAGGTCACCCTTTCGCTTCGCGCAATGCCAGCTGCTCGTCTCCAAGATAGTGCACCTGTCATTGGATATTCCTTTCAAAAGGTACCTTTTACCCCAAGGACTTCTGTTTCTGCACATATTGCCGAAAATAATTCCAAGCAGGTATGTTTAAGTCCAGTGGAGTCATATGGTGCCTCCGGTACTTCTAGGGTAGTTGAAATTTTGGTAGTTCTAGGGTTAAAGGATCGAAGGTCAGATGCAGTCCCTTGCGGTGTGAGGTGAGTAAATCAGAAGCAAATCGAGAATATCATTTACAGCATCCATGCTTCCCTCGTACTAGGCTAGGAGTTTCCAATTAACTGGGGTCGCAGCACGACTGCGTTTCCAAGCAGGACCTAGTACACTCGGTTTCTCAGGCATGGTCCTTGACCATGCCACTGTGCCTACCTGCTCCCAGCAAACTGGTGGTATAATGGGCCATGATTACTAGTCTTATACATGTACTACATTCAGTATAAGTTGAATACTATGACTCATTCTTTCATGATGCACTCGACACTCTGGAGAAACCCCATGATCCACTATGAGTGACAAATGAACACAGGCTTTCTCAAAACAAATAAATTTCACGGTTCGCGTGAGACTCGGCTGGAAGCCAAGTTTTCCGCATCCGCCGTGGGAACGCCACCACCCTCTAGGATCAAAGGCGCAGATGCAGCGCCTAAACGGTGGGAGGTGAGTAGATCAGACCCACCACCAAGTGGTCAAAGACCGAAATCCCATTAGCTGCATCCATGTTACCCTCGTGCCAGACCACGAGTTCCCAATTAACTGCGGGTCGCAGCACGGCTGGAAAAATTCCTTCCGCTTCCAAGCAGGACTTGAACCTGGTACCCTCTGATTCTCAATCATGGTCTTAGACCATCCCACTAGGCTTTCTCTGAACAAGCCTTTATTAACTTAACTTAAAAACGTGTTTTGCCCTTTACCATCAGCAGCATCGTACATTCACATAGTAAATTGTGTGGACATGTTGTTGTTGTTGTTGTTGTTGTTGTTGTTTGTTGTTGTTGTTGTTGTTGTTTCTTTATTTTACTTCACCATATGAACAGGCAAGACTGCCTTCTCACCGGGGCTATTGGCCCACGGCTCTCACACTATGATGAAAATGTTTAAAATGTGTATGAAGAAGAAAGGAACGGAAAGTAGTACGCTATGCATTGGCTTGTGGGTATCACACAAGGAAGGTTAGTTGCGCAATTAAAGTGCATATTCATGGAAATCCATTGGGACGTGAGCAACGCTTGAGGAGCGAAACACAGAACTTGCCTTTGTCCATGTGGCGTTTTGCGGAGTGATTGGGGTAGCTGGATCGCCAGCGAAGTCCACAATCACAGCCATTGACAGGATCTCGTTATAACGAACAATCTGGGCTTTCATGAATGGCCTCACCACGGGGCGAGCTGTAGTGTGGGGAAAAATGGAGGTACAGTGTAGTATAGTATTCATCGGCTCAAGGTAGTGAAGGGGATGATATTTTTATTTTTATTTATTTTTATTGAAAAACCACAAACCTTCAGACATGTGAACGTGCACATGATACACAGTGTACATACGTATTAATTTATCACTCTTCTATATCGACCTCCACTAATTCTCGTAATCCTTGACTGGTCCTATAATTATTACCCATATCGCCGCACTATCGACCGCTTATATTGACCGCTTGTATTTTTTTGTTTTTTTTGTTTATAAAACAATTTTACAAATATCCACGCGAAACGAAAGCAGAACGGTATATACGGTAGCCAAAAATAATAATTTAGTGCGAAAATAAGAAAAATAAATAATAACACCCGAAAGCGCTAAATACAAAATCAAGAAAAAGGGAAATTATAAACCATGTAGCGCTAATGTGCACCAAATAATAAGTTAAATGATAATAAAGCCGAGTGAAAAACACAAGAAATCATAACAAAAGAAACAAACTAATGATACGAAAATAGAGTAATAATATTAATGGGAGAACTCTCATAACATCGATTGCAGGAGTCTGTTCAAGGAGGATCATTCAGTTATCGGAGCCTAGCCTCGGCAACCACGAGATCTACCGAAGCAGCTGTGACGGAGGGAGTGAAGATCGGACGACGAGCTCCACGTAGGCAGGCAATGCAAGCACGAAGAAGCGCAAAGCTTACCCGGCAGCGGATCCATGCCATTACCCTGGAGTAGGGGTCCTGGCACTTTTCCGATAGCATGTCAGCAATGCGCTTGTATAGCGATGTCGCTGACTTCCCCATGCCTCCAGATGTGGAGAGAACGACGGGGCAGAAGGAGCCATGCTCGACTTCACAGACTCGCTCCTCATAGCAACGCCGTTTCTCTCGCTCATGACGCTGGTAGCTGGAGGGGACTGAAGTGGTACGGTTTGAGCTCGCAAACGGGTTAAAAACCCTTACATCAAAAAAGGCGCGATCAAACCGTCCACCCCAGACACCACTCGCAGCTATATCCAGCCGCGCTTGAGGGTTGGTGATGGCAGAACGATGCCTGAAGGATTCGCCAGTGATAGGTTGCAGGTGTGGCTCGAGCACGACACTGTGGGCAACACGCTTGAGGAGAGACGCCGTCACATCACGAACCTCATTATGCCGGAGCGAGGGAAATCCTCCTCGAGAGCACGACAGAGCATGGCAAATGGTGAAGGATTCACCACAGGCACAATGTGTTGGAAGATGAGATGGAGTCCAACCATACCGAAGTGCCAGGCCGTCCCGAAATTCGCCCTTCGACAGAGCGAATGCGTGCGCCTTCAGGGGGCGACATGTGAGCCAGGAGGAGGCACCTTTCTCGCTGGCTAGCCTCATGCAATGCTGAAGACCCGACGGGAGTGACAGCAGAAATTCAGTGGCAGCTCTTCCTGTGGCCAGTCTGGTGTCACTAGCCAGTTTCCGCTTGGTCTGGCGGACAGTGTCGAGGGTGTCACCTAGGGCTGGGTCCTGGCAGCTGATCTTTGACACCAGCGCAGCGATGATGGTGCATGACGCCTTGTACTGACCAGAGAGTGCAGTGGGATCGAGGAGTCCAAGGCCACCATCTCTGCAAGGGAAGCTTAGCAACTTCCGTTCAACGGTGCCCACCGAGCGACCACAAAGCGAGGGGATGAGGCGGGAGGCAATTGCTTCCTCCAGCGTGCCTAAAGCTGAAGCGGCCCTCTCCATCACACGGCACAGAAACGACCAACGGTGCTTCAGGCCATGCGTAAAGGCAGAGAAGGCAGCTTGCGGCTGGGAGTCGGCGATCTCAGCGAGGGTTAGGACCTCCTTCCTCCAGGACTCTGCTTTTTGGCTGAGGTAGCCATCCACAAAGCCAGAGGTGCCAATAGCTGCTCCAAGAAAGCGGTGCCCGTCGTCGGTGATGGTGACACCAGTACTCTCGAAGATTCTGCTGGCTTCTTCGAGGTGCGGTGGCTTGACGACCAGCACAGACTTTGATGGATTCGGCTTGTATCCGTACAACGGAGCCCGCTGGCAGAGAAGGTCCCACCATGCTCGCAGGCGGATGATCCTCCCCGCAGCTGACGAGTCGTCCGCATACCAGAGCTGAGTGGCCTTCGCTGCTGACAGGGAACGGATCAGTGGAAGAATGGCAACGGCGTACATGGGCATGGCTAAAGGATCACCCTGGGTTGTTCCTTCAGCCGACATGATAAAACTACCTCCAACAAACAGCTTGGCTGAGCAGCGATACGTGTTGATAACTACTGTGGCTAGGGATGGGCAGAGGTGGCGCAGGTTGTGTAGACAGACTTCCCGGTTAAGCTGATTGAAAGCGTTTGTGGCATCCGCCATCAGCACTGCTTCGGTGTCGTCTTGGTCAAACATCTGCTGCATTGCATGGATTGCGGCCTCAATGCCGCATTCCTGTCCAGCACACAATTGGAGACTTCCTGCCGCTTCCTGGATGTCGCTTCTGATGAGGGCAAGGATGGCTTTGCCAATGATTCGTCTCACCACTTCGCCTATGCCGATTGGGCGAACTCCTGGGTCCTTGTCAAGCGGGATAAGCTTGGATGCTACGTACGCCTCCAAGGTGACTGGGTCAACATGCTCTGTTGCAAGCCGTCGAGCAGAGGCAGCCAGTGCATCACATAGCAAGTCTGATGCTTCCGAGAATGCCGTACACATCCATCTCCACGCGTCTGCATCAATGCCAGATGGACCTGCTGCTCCATGAGTGTTAAGGGCAGCTCTCCGAACCGTTTCTCGGTCTAACCCAGAGAATCTTGTTGGATGCGGTGTAGGTGGAGCGTCACCATCTAGCAACGCCTCCATGGACGCGGGTGCAGGTGGGGGATGCTTCGCTTCCAGTATCTCCCGGACAGTGTAGTCACCTGAAATGTCATCCAGTCCCAGCACACCAGGAGACTCCCCAGTGGAAAGTGATCTCAAGGCAGATGCCAGCCGGCCGCTGGTCACCTTGGATGCAAAGTGACGTGCATCATCATTGCTGGTTCTGCTTCTCTGTTGACGCTTCTTGAGCTCCTTGTGAATAGTGTCACATTCGTGGATGAGGGTCTGCAGGTTCCCCTTCTTCCACTCTGTTAACCGCCGTTCGAGTGTACTGGCTGGTTTCTCTGATGGGCCAAGTGGTTTCTGTAGCAGCAGCATTTGAAACACCATCGCAACTTTGAAAGCTTGGCCCTCATACTGTCCTCTCACACCAAAGCACTGAATGTACTGTGCGAGTTGAGACACAAAGTCCTTGCCGGTGTTACCCCGTGGGACCTGCATTGCATTTGGACGGTAGTGGACTAGTGTATCATAGGCAGTATTGATACAGCGAGCAGTCTCCTGTGTGCCCAAATCCCCTAGTGAGAATCTATCTCCAAGGGTACGCGGGTAGTCAGGGAGATTGGAGAGATCATTGACCCCTGGACCAGGTGGTGGGGCAGGTGCATTGAGGGGTTCGGGCACAGGGTGGGCCATGTGGAGGTCCAGCTCAGATGATTGTGACGAGTCCAAGTTCGCCAATAGGGTAGTGTCACGTACAGTCACGGGCTGGAGGAGTGCACGGTTCTGCTCATTTTCAAGTTCGTCCCAAGCCAGCTGTTGAGAACAAGAGACAGGCATATCGGAGGCGGTCGCACTAAGACTATGGGCAGTATGAACTGTTGAGGTGTGTCGCGCAGTTTGACTCTGAGGGCTAAGCTCGGTAGACAAGTGGTTGGTGGTCGTCTGATGTTGATCAGTACTACATGCATTAGCCTGTCGCCCACTAGCACTTCCGACCCCTCCGTGGGAGCATGTGGGTGATTGTGCCGGCACGTGGCGCACCGTTTGAACACCTACGGGATTCGTTGACTGGGTGGCGGGAGGAGAGTTACGGCATTTTGCTTTCCTTCCTGGTGTGCAATTTCGGCAGGATATATTCGATTCTCGGCAGCTACAGCTGGATCCGCACTTGGAGTTGCCACTGCACTTGTATCGACCACTTATTAATTGTAATCTTTCGACTTTGGAGGGACTTAGAATTTTTCTCTCCACTTCAAAAAGAAAAATTGAAAGAAAGAAGACAAAGGAAGAGAACAAGCAGGATTCGAACTCACAACAGTATGAATCTCAAGCAACCCCGTATACCACCCAGCCACTGTGCTGCAGATGCGGAACCCTGTTGTTCTTACAGTCTTGTACCCAAAATAGGCAACATCCTATGTACACTATAGTACAAATGCTATACTAAAAAGGTTACAATAGCTCCTAAAGGTTCAATTTTTTGGGTTATGGCAAAGGAATCGTGATAAATAGGATATTGACCTCGACTTCGGTCTATATGGGAAATATAGGCCGAGTAAAAGACCGAGGTCCGCCGAGGTCAATATCCTATACGTATCGAGAAGATGATATCCGGAGGATCATTGATTTTCGCCATCTAAACTCAAACCAGGTAGAGAGTGAGTGATCGTCTAACCAGTTGCTGTAAAAGGGTTAAGGCAGAGGCGTAGTCCTCCTTCAAACAGCGATGTG